CAATCAATCAATCAATCAATCAATCAATCAACCCATCAATCAATCATTCATTCAATCAAAAAAAAAAAAGGGAAAAAAATCTATTTGTTTTGAGTCTGGTTTTGCTTTTGATTTTTTAAAGATAATTTTAATGCAAAAAAAATAAACATAAAAATATGGGGATGTAGAGAACAAAAAAATCTACACCCCCATATTTTATTTTATTTTTTCCCTATATTTTGCCTGCAAAAAAAATATCCGCGGGCCGAGTTGTACCACGTTCAACTCGGTTCAACGGGGAGTTGAAACGGGAGTTGAATGGGAGTTGAACCGTTCAACTCAAAACCCCCGTTGAATCCGATTCCGGACACATAGTTAATGCTGATTGAATGCTAGTTGAATCCTGACCGAATGCTGATTAAATGATGATTGAAATATGCAGCCAAAGTAGTAAGTCCCTATACAATGGTCACTTAATGACTGAGTGTGACCGTTGTTTTGTTGGCTGGTATCTCACACTTGAGAGTTCCGATAGAATACAGATCAAACATTGATTATATACTGATTGATCACTGTCTACTTATTAGCAACGCGGTGCACTGCTCACTTGACAACTGTTGAGCAACTAGTCACCAACGACAGTCCTGAGTACGGGTCACTGATAACAGCGCTGAATACCAGGGGTTGTGCGTTGACTACTGATTGGATACGCTGGTGAAGTCCTCGGGGAGAGGAGTCTTAGCTCCTTCACACTCTCATAGACTTAGCTCTGATTTGTTCAATTGCCTCAATGAAGCAGTAGGTGCTGTGCAACTTGTCATCACTGACATATACGTAAAGAGTGTACTCAATGGTTGTTTGATCTCTCACTAATTCTAATACCTCCTTCACCATTGTCCTCATACGGTAGTGAAAGTCCTTGGTGACTGTTCTTTCCCAACTTTCTATTTTGTCTTGCTGCAATGTGCAAGTCACTCTTACTGTATCGCCACTCCCCTCCTCTCTGCAAGTACCCATTGCATTAGAGATGATAGACTGTATCCATACGAGAAACAACAACAACTCATTTCAGATGGGTCTCTTGACCCGACTGATTATCCTGAATAAGGTGGTTGTCTCAGTTGTTCTCACTGACGCAGTTGCGGCGGGATAGTGTACGTTTTGACTGCAGTCCTTCTGTAAATAATCTGATACTGGACTAGTAAGAGAGAGAGAATAGTAACCGTTCACAGTCAACCCCTAACAAAACCTTTACTGAGGCACAATGGTAAAAATTTGTTCTATTTCACCATCTCTCCCTCGCCCCAAAGCTCGGGTTTAGAACGAGACAAACTACTGATAGCCTTGATGATCCCCTCTCCAGGTAAAGAACAGTTCTCAGTTAGATCATGCAGGCGCTCTGCTCAGGGCGGAACACAGTGGGTCCAAGACATGTGGGAATATTTATCTTCGTCGACAATGTCTGTCTGCTATTGTACCTCATTGGCGCGGCCAGAAAGCAGATAAACGGGTGACACACGATAGCAGTCAGGGAAAAACCCTTCTCTGTAATTATGAGAGATTGATCAGGTCTGATAGATTTGCTAGACCTGGACTAGGGAGCAATCTGAGCCGGGCACCTGGCCCTGCTTGAACCCCTAGTAGTGATAACCTTTTGAGGGGCCTATCATAAAAGTCCTGCGCCTCAAGAGGTATTATTGACTTAAGGCCCCTTGACCACTGATTCATAACCTGCCAATGAATCGCAAAGAAGGGGCCTTTAGGAGCAATAGAGTAAAGCCGACTGTCTGACTCAGAATAGTGTTGGGGACTTCTCTAATTTGAATTCGTTCTACCACACTGAACTATTATCAAACTTTTCGGCTTTCCTCGAAGTTCAACAATCAATGAACGTTTAGCTTTAATTTCTTTTATGGGTAGATTCGAACGACCCAACACCTGGGGCACCAAAGTAGTTCCTTCACTTAATCCGCAGAGAGCTTACTGATTCATGCTCTCCGTAGAACTTCTGGCCTCTGTTCGGCAATCACTTTAAGTAGTAAGTGAGTGGATTAACAACCCCCCTTTTCTTATGGCCTGCCGTGCACAATCGATGGTATTTTCCTTCGCTTTTCGTGACACTGAGTATTCCTCAAAGTTCTCAAGAGGGGGGGGCTGCCGCTGCCCCTTTCCCATTCGTCCTCTGGCAGGAGGTAACCACACACGACATTGTCTGATCCAGCCATGTCGTTTTCGGTTCATGCCCAGCACTGGGTATCTGACAAATACCGACTTTGCCTTCCCTTTTCTATTCCCTAGGATGTAACTTGCAAATTTGTATGAGTAGAGTGTGTAGGGACTTTCTTGTAGTGGAAAGTCGGGTTCGTAACGTCTGAACACGCATAGCTTTCAAGGAGGCATTAACGAGACTCGTACAGTTCATAAAACTCACGCTCAAGGCTCCATCCTTTTCAGAAAATCTGAGGACATTCATTAAGATAGTACAAAAGGCTGTTTACTTTCCACATCATCTGAGAGTGAGCCCTTAACACCTCTCCAAACTGTCTCCGAGAAAAATTGACTGATCAGAGCTTTTATTTATCTTATTAATCACCATCTAGCAAGTATTTCGCTAACAGGTGAGTGATTTGCCGCAACAGTTCCCGCCTTCTACCCATCTGTCAAAACACGCATTGAAGCGGAAGATTCCAGAGGCAGGTCTGGGTTGAGCCTTACAAGATCAGTTAGTGTTCTCCTTCGCCTTTCCTCAAAGATCGACGAAGCATGCTAGGTCCTACCCCAGCCAAAAGTTTACAGAGTTGGTCTCATCATCAACCAAACTTAGTGCCGATGGGACGGCCTCCAGACCGAACTATAGAGCAGTACTCTGTACTCTATTTAGGCAGAGCTTCTTAAAGAATCTTAACAAGGACAACAACAATCTCTGTTTGCTATCTGACATTAATTATAGCTGTAGGGAAAAACTAGAACGAAGATCTTGAAAGAACAATCCAAAGAAAGCTCGTTGGCAACTCTACTACCCAGCAAGCAAAAACTGAAGGCGTGAACTAAGTCAGAGCAGTTACCTTTCTTGTAATTAGAACTGAAGGTCGACCTCTTTTTAATATCCTTCAAATTCTTTATGTCTATACCTTTCAAAACGGTGCGTGTAGGGTCACACATGAACTGCTAACGACAAGTGTCAACGCTCTGATCGAGTCACTGATCATTCCTTCCCGCTCTTATTTTGTCACTACAGAGAGGAATTAGCATTCAAGAACGTGACAAATGTCCTTCAATGCTTCTGGTAGCTACGATGAGAGACTCGATGTGATTAGCACACGAGTATCGCTTATGTCATTTGAGAGTAGGTCAAGAGTCGAGTCTGACACGTGCAGCAGTAGATGACGTCAACAACAACATAGTACATGTCCTTCTCCCTCGTCTCATTATAGTTTTGATGGCGTAAAGCTTTACACAGTGCCCGATTCAACAAGGCCTGCAGGTTACTCTGTATGTGCGTTTACACACGTGTCCCTCCTTCTCTTGCGCGAATCAGAGTAGTCCTATTTCCATGAGAACTTCACTGTCGATAGTCTCTGCACGCTAGCAAGATGCGGCACAACCGCTCTCACGAGAAGGCGCGCGTTAATCCGCTCCCCGACCAATGATGTTGTCACTCATACATGACACAATTGACGGAGTTAACGACTATCAGACGGTGCAAGCTAATCTCCACGAAGTCTAAAGGAGAGTTTCCAAGCAAATATGCAAAATCGCTCGTGCACCTGACTGAGCATCATTCCTCTGTAACCTTCAAGAACTCTGATTAGCAAAAAGCACCAGCGAGAGGGAAATTCAATAGAGAAATAAAGGACCTCCTCCTTCCGCACCTGACTCACACACCTGGCGCGTTCTTCATCTCCCCTCACTCTCGCGTGACCGCTCGCCCTATATCCCCCTCTCAACTGATGTCCCTCTTCGTAGACGGGGGGGGGGTTCGCTAGTTTCAACACGTCACGCACGCAACCAAGTTGACGTCAACGTCTTGGCTCTCCCGCACACTCGCGTCTCCCTCTTGCGTTTATTGACCTCTGGGCTTCTCTTTTCTCACATGCGCATGTTCTCTCTTTTTTGCGTCCCTCTCACTTGTCCCCCATGTGTCTACTGCCTCTCGGCCTCCGGGTCTTCTCTGCCGCAAACAGGCCTCGCCCTCGGGAGCTGGCCTCTCGGCCGTCCTCAACTGGTCGCGCCTGAGGGTGGTTCTTACGAACCTGGTCCGGTCTGTTCCAGGACTGGAGGTCAATCTCCCGGTCACTAGCCTCACTTTCCGCCTCTGAATCTTGGTCCAGGTGCAGCTGCTCACGCTCCACTGTGTCCGTCGAGGTCCCCACGTCCAGGTAAGAAACGGTCACCTTTAGCTCATCAGTGACCCCATCCCTTCTGCACCTTCTTTCGGCTCTGTCCTTGGCCTCCGTGATTGCCAGTTGTAGTCTCTGATCAGTCCTCATCTCCTTTTCTCTTCCCCCCTCAACGTCAACCCTCAATCTCAACTCTTCATCGTGACGGGTATAGTCTAAGGTAGTTGTCACAGTAGGCCCCTCACCCAACATTGGCTCCCACTTCCAGACAAACTGGAGGTATGTCGGCCTATATCCGTGTAGCCCACTACTCCGTAACATGACTGAGCTTTTCCCGAGCAGGCTCAGCACGATACCAGGCTGCCAACTCCGAGATAGACAGCCCGACGCTCCAAGCGCGCACACATAGGCAGATTTGCGTGCTCACTTCACCGCTCTGTTCCCTCCTTAGAACTCAGTCTCGATCACATAATGAGACCGTCTATGTGACTATGTCCAGTAGAAAATGACACAGTCCCCTTTCTTCTTATAGGATCACTATATATCGCGACCCCATGCTCAGAATGAGGAACCCAAATATCTCTCATGGCTCTGCACGTTTAATCGATTAAATTTTTAAATTAATAAAAAGTGATAAACAAAACAAAGGAAAAGGAAGGAAGGACGAGTGATATAACATCAACGATCATATCGCCAGCTTCTGCTATCAACCACTACAACGCTTCTTCTCAGGCTTGAAAGTGACCTGCAGACCCGGCGCGACGGTCCCATAACGGAATACGGACGGATGCTCGTCCTTCTCTAAAACCTGCAGTCGGCTTACCGCTATTTGGTACCCTTTTTCGATGGTAAGGAGGGGGCTTATGACCCTCCTCGGGGGTGATAAGCCTTCTACCGATGCGGTGTGAGGAAACCTGGGGAGGGGCTACCTACCGTTCGCTGAAGCCATGGGCTACGGCGCCTGTCACTTCGCCGCGCCCGCTCCGAGGTCCTCGGCGACCAGTAGGGTGAAAGGGGCCAATTGAGTTCAAGATCCGTCAAGCCCCGTCGTCACACAGCGCTCTTCAGCAATTAGAGAGAGTATGATACATTACTAAATATTTAAATAAGATTAAAGAAACAAATAAGAATAATAAG